AGGAAACTTACTAGTTTGGATAGTCTCTTTGGGGGAAGGTTGGACCCGACACGGACCATCTTCTCGGGCTCGTCCTCGTCCAAGGTAACCGAGACGAGGTCCTCAGCTCGATCGCTCCTCCCTGAGGTCAAGGCCCTCAAGTGGCAATGCTTCTTTGTTCTTGCCCTTCAGTGCCGCTACATAGCACTGTTGGGCGGTATGTTGATCCCCCCGAACAACTTCGACGCCATGCTCGGTTGAGAATTTGAGGGTGAGGTGGTAGAAGGACATGGCAGCTCGCAGCGCGTGGAGGGTCGGTCTACCCATGATTGCATTATAGGCGGAGCCAATCCTCACGACAAGGAACTTCGTCATCCTCGTCACTTGCCGAGGCTTAGTTCCTACCATGATTGGCAGGGTGATCTTTCCTTCCGGCCTAACAACATTGCTGGAGAAGCCGACTAGTGGGACATCGGTGGGTTGAAGATGGTTTGGCGCTATTTTCATCTTTTCAGAGGCTTTGTAGAAGAGAATGTTTGTCAAGGAGCTGCCATCGACGAGAATCCTCTTGACTAGGAAGTTTGCTACTACGGCCGAAATTACCAATGCACCGTCATGGGGGACTGTGATCCCATTGAGGTTTTCGTCGGTAAAGGAGAGGTCCTCATGTTGCTTTGGCCTCTTGGGGGCTGGCCCCTAGATGTTCAATTGCCTGGCGTAGGCCTAGCAGGTCGAGGCCAAGCCTCCGATAATGACGTTGATAACTCTGGCGACTCGCTGGTGCTGGTATTGCTGGGAGGACGAAGCACTAGCTTCACCCCTAATGAATTGTTTCAAATGCCCACGGCGATTGAAGGACTATATTTTGTTCTTCAACTCATAGTAGTCCTCGGTGTCGTGGCTGACACCACGATGAAGCTTGCAGTACATTTTGGGGTTCCTCTTCATCTTCTCAGGCCACTTCATGAACATTTCCTCGCCTATTTGCATAAGGATTTAGGTCCGGGAGAAGTTGAGTGGCGTATATTTGCTGTAAGCCGTAGTCAGGGCTGACGGATTCCTGTTATCTTTGCCGCTATCACCTCAATAGTCTTCATTCTTTCTTTTCTTTCCCGAGGGCCCGCCGTTGCGTTCGGTCTCCTTCTCCTGGTGGTCCTTGGCCGAAGCCTCTTGGTGGGTGTCGAATCCAACCAAAAATAAAAGTCCTGCTCGAATTAAATATTTTTGTAGATAGTGATGAGCAAGGTCGTCTCCACAGGGATTGGGTGGATTTATTTCCAAGTGAACGAAGTAGGGGGTTGTGAAGATAAGAAAATATGTTGAAATAAATAAAATAACGGAAAATAACAGAAAGCGATGATCAAATTGATGGGAAATAGCTTTCGGTTTAAGGGACAAGTTCAGCTTTGATTCTTATCATTGATCCTTGATGCAAGGATAAATTCATATGTTTACGAATAAATTGGTTATATCCATTAACAAACTCTAACAGCCATCCTCTACTCATATTATTCGACAATCAAAACAAGCTCTTTGATTGCTTCTCTTATTAATAAACAATCCTAAACAAGCTCTTAGGATTTAATCTATTAATAGCATTAAGAGGGGAGAGACCCAATTCTGGTCAGCGATCTCACAAGCTCGGACCGTTTAAACCAGATCATACATTTTCCTAACATAGAYCRAAAAMWTTTTTGCAATYWATTTMTRTTAGTTGCCACCATGATCAAACCTACCAATCATATACGAAACTGGAGGTTCAATCGGCCATAGATTATTCTCATTGAATGAGCTAGGGCACCTTCTTGCTTAATCAATAAAAATAATCTTCACAGTTAATCGCATAAAACATATGAATACCCATAAACAATGAAGTGAAATAAAAATCAATTAGATCTCACAATGTTTATAGAATCAAAGCTTCCCTAACCCTTCAACCAGAAATTAAAACCTTATAGACACTTTATGATGAAATCGCAGTTTCCAGATGAGAGGGGGCGAACTCTGCTTCTTCCTCCTTGGTTGTTGATTGCTCTTCTTGGAGGCTGAAGCTCTCTTGAAGGATTTGATGATGATCTTGGGTGCTAGTCTACCCCCTTTATATAGAATTAGGAGGGAGTTGTATCCTGCTCCTTTAAGGAGTTATTTCTTCATTGGGAGTTTAGTTCTCTAATAGATAATGCCTAGATTAGATCTAATCTACTCCTATCTCATAACTGGTAATCTTAATCTCTTTTATCCTTCTAGAAATACAATAGAAAATTGAATATGATAGGACTCTTTGATGTTTCTTATTCTTGCATTCGTATTGGGCTTCTTCAACGAATTGGGCTGTTGCAAGGCTTCTATGCGAACTGGGCTTCTGCTGCGAACTAGGCTTCTCTACGAATTGACTTAGACTTAGGGATCGATTTTGACCTCGATTCAGTCCGAATCTATCAAAATTCAAAACATGAAATTTGTATATTTTTTCCTTATATTTCTAATGCATCTTGAATCATCTCAATCGGAGTCCGGATGTGAGAGTTATTCCCAGATTACCGCACTATTCCGAAACTGTGCAAAATTACCCGATTAGCCTTGTTTTTCACCCTACGCCTTCTTTCATGCCCTAAATCAAAATACAAGAATAGTGAGTCCAATTAGGTACTAAATAAGTGTAAAAGACTGAATATTAAGGGATAAAAATATGATAATTTTTATTCTCATCACCTCTTCGGGTGCAATGTACTTTTGGGCCTTTTTGAGGAACTCTAGCTTTGTCTTCGGCGACTGAGCACTTGAGGGCAGAGCCAGCTCATAGTCCATTGATGGCGGCGTGCATTGAGACTATGGGGTTGAGGTCCCTGACCTCGATCTCTTATTTTTTAAAGCGGACGATGTAAGACTGCAAGCTTTCACCCGATTTTTGCTTGATGGACATGAGCAAAACGATGCTCTTCTAACACCGTCTACTACTGATGAAGCGTACGAGGAACATGTTGGCAAACTGCTCCTAGGAACTGATTGACCTTGGGGGGAGGCTGGAGAACCAGCGGCGTTCTGCCCCATTGAAGGTGGCCTAGAAAGTTCGGTACGTTAAGGCGTCGGAGTACCCATAGAGTATCATGAGCACTCTAAAACTTTCCAGGTGGTCGTTGGGGTCCGAGGAGCTGTCGTACATCTCCAAAGTAAGAGCCTTGAAGTGTGGGGGGAGAGGCTCTAAAATGATTTTCGGGGTGAACGCGTCCATGTGGCCGGCGGAATTGTCATGACTAGCGGAGGTATCAGCTCGGTTCTCCTTGACTTGACGGAGCTCGTCTCTGACGGCCCCAAGCTTGGCTTGCAACTCGGCCAACCCTAGATCGGTGGGGGCATGGGCCCCACTTCTGTCTTCGCGGACTTGGTGGGTATCAACTCAGATTCCCGAGTACTCTGAGGCCGGGTCGTGCACTCCCCTACGAGCGCGACGATCATTTAGAACGTCCYAGAGATCCGAGACAAGTGGGGGAGTGGCACGACGTTGGCTATCGCCTCGAGAGCGAACTTCGGGGTGGCCTAGGTGTTCGCTGTTGTCCCAGGGGATCTTCCTTCGACGGCGGTGATGCTACTCCAAAGGCTGGTGATTGTCTTCGGATCGAGCGGGCACTTCTTCTTTTTGGCTGGGAGGTCGAATATTCCTCCAAGGTGAAGTGGGGGGTCGGCTATTGCTTGACTTCGATTGCTCGACCAGCTGATTTTCGCCCTGGCCGAGGGCTGGGGGCTTGACGTGCTCGCGTTGACCTTGGTTCTCTGACACCCCAGCGGGGTGGTCGCTTCAGAAGGGACCTCCTGCTCGGGGGCAGACTTCTTGTATGCACTGAGTGAGGCAGTCCAAACGGTCAAGGACTTCCTGAAACTGCTCGTAGGTGACCAGGTTCTGGTTATTCCTGGTTTTTCGCACCATGACTTTCGAACTTAGGAGGACTTAAAGATTTTTCTTTTTGTGAGTTTTAAGGAATCATCTTAGCAACGTTTCCCACAGATGGCGCCAATTGTTGCTGCTCGGATTAGCCGAGGGCAACGAGGTAAATTCACCCCAAAGTTCCAAAGGCAGGTTGAAAGGCTTTGAGGATTCTAAAGAGGGTAAGCCGAGGCTGAGGAATGTAGGCCGGGGTGTGGTGCTCCCTTCTGAGTATGGTAGAGGCCGAGGACTGCGGGTTGTTGGCTCAGTAACGAGATTCTTGGAGATCCGAGGTACTGCAAAACAAGAGATGTCAGAGGCCTCAGGTGAAGACCAGAGGCGGAGGCTCCAATGCTCAAGTTAGTACGAGGTGTAAGGTGGGGGAAGGTGCAGACGAGGTCTCGATGGTAGTCCTCGGATGCACTGGGTCCCCAGGAGTAAATGCTAATGAAGCGAGGTAGGTGCAAAAGTTTAATTCAAGGCACTAGAAGTAAATGGGAGAGTTGTATCATAATTCTGGGATCTGGATCCCTTGTAAAAGAAGAGTTACCTCATATTTATACTTGAGCGAACTGGAGGCATGTGGAGATGAATGCACTAGATGAAAGCCATACAAAGTTAGGCGACAAATCCTTGTGAATACGTCTAACTGCCCGTAGGGCTCCTCTTTTGTGGCTGGCGCTGTCAAGCGTTAGTGGGCCGGGCCTCCCAGCCCGTAATGGGCTGGGCCTGGCTAGCCCACATCAGGATGTATCATATATGCACCGTTCAATGAAGAGGAGGACGTCGATTGAATCGGACAGTTTTGGTTTATTATGCGCAGTAATTTCCTATGCTAACACTAAGGCGCATGTTAGCAAACATCATCTTAAAATCCGTACGTACATTGCGGATCGTGCGATAGGTATACCTTACCTACTTTTAAGAGTTTAAACCGCTAGATGAAATCGAGATTCTTCTTCAAACACCATATGCTCCATCCAACGGTATAAGACATATGATGTATCTAAGCATGTAAAGGGCTTGCATACACGGAAAGGACTTTCGCATTTACACGTCCCTCTCTCTCTCTCTTAGCTTCATTCCCTTTTCATGCAACTCTCTCGTATCGTCAGTTTCCTCTTTGCTTACTCTGCAAGTTTTCTTGATTGAGTTCTTTCCCGGTTTGCCCTAGCTCTCACTTTCCTTTTTCTATCGACATTTTTCGCAAGTGCTGTACATACGTGGTTTGTATTAATTGATATTTGTTTTGATTTTTCTGTTCTTGATGTTTTTTGATCGAAATGGTTTCGTGTGTAGTGTTTTTTTATTCGCCTTTGATTGAACTTGGAACTAGTATCAGAAGTTTCTGCCTACTCTATTTTTTCGGGGATGAGTTTTGTGCTTTTTTCAATGTGCATTACTGCAACTTCGCCGTTAACGTTATTATGATTGTTCGCTACTTTTTTTCTGTTTTTCTCTTCATACTATCTTTGAAACTCGAGAGCTCTTATTCACTCGAAAGTCGAAAGTAAAATACTGCTCTTTAAAGCCTTTTCTTGTGTTAAATTAGTGGTAGAAGATGTACTTCAGTGATTTTTCCCAAGTTGTTCGATATGTTGTGCTTTTTTATATGTTTTTGGGTTTTGTTCTTGTGCTATTTATCCTTTTGAAAATTTGCTTGTTGTCGTCTGTTTTATGTATTTTATTGTTAGGTTGACTTTTTGCGGAGTTCCTTATTGTCATGTCTTGAAATTTCTATACATGTTCCTTTAAGAATCTAAGTGTCTCATTTTTTTTTTTGATCAATATCTAAGTGTCTTATTTTACTACTAATGGTTGTTGTACTTCTCTGTTGATTTGAATGTCATACGGGGTCATGCGTTTTATTTTGATTTTGCAATTTACATGTTTCAGCTCTTTTTTTTTTTATCTCAAATGGTTTTCTTTTTCTGGTCTTTTCTCCTTGAGATTCTGGAGGTATTGGATTGACTAAAATTGAAGTTTCTATTCTTGTTAATAGCTTATGTCATTGCAAGCCTAATTCCTAGTAGTTCTTGTACCATTTTTGCAATTGTTGCAGTCTTTTTGTTTTTTGATCAGCTTAATTGTTGCAGTCTATGAACTTCGTTTTTCTAGGCCTTTCGCATTATTTGTTGGTAGCTCCGTATTTTCTAATCTTTCAGTGTAGGAAAAATCTCTTGCAGCATTCAATGAATCAATGACAAGATTTCTTTTCTTTTTCTTTTTTTTTTTGGTTACTTATTAGTCCTAGTTAAGTACGCCTGTTCTGGATTTTGTTGTCTTCCCCGCCTCTTATTGGTCTGCCCAAATGTGTCTACAGGTTTGGAGCACTAATACTCCGTAGAGAAAGAGTGTGGCAGAGGTGATGAGTTAGTTCTGGCATTAAGGTTTCTCTAGGTTTTGGACACGAAATGTCACGTAAAGGTCCTAACCCAAGAGTAGCTAAGGCCCTTAGTGCTATGGAAGCTCTAGGCATTTCTGAAGACACTGTAAGACCTGTCCTGAGAAATCTATTGAAATTGTATGAAAGAAAATGGGAACTTATTGAAGAAGAAAACTATAGAGCTCTTGCAGATGCTATATTTGAGTATGAGGAGACTCAGGTCATTTTGTTTTCCTTCTTTCAGATAATTTTACGCATTTTAGTTTTTTGTTTTACATTTCTTTCAATATGTTTGAACTTATTGGTCTCAACTATCAGGCAGCAGAAAGGACGATTAAGAGAGTTGAGAATATTGAAGTATGTAGTCTATTTCTTGTTACTCGCTTCACTGGTTTGGCTTGATTTTGAGTCCCTTATACACTCTTAATTGATGTTGCCCTTGACCTTGTTTAGCAGACAACTGATGATGTAAGGACAGAATATCTACTACATGATGACTCTGAACATCCACATAAAAGGCTGTGTTTGAGACGCCATGCATCATCTTCTATTGTTATCTCTGGCCTGGCACTAGGTGAAAATTCTTCCAGAAAGGCAAAATCAGGCACTGCTTCAGACCAATCTTGTTCTACACAGGAAAAAGAGGAGTCATCTCAAGGAGATGAAAGATCTGAATCCAAATATGTGTCACCTGAGACACATCTTAGGGACAGAAGAAAGGAACGTGCCTTGCCTCAACCTTGTCCTCAGCAGGAAGAGGCAGAAACATGCCCGCAATTTCTTAGGAACAGAAGAACTGAATCTGATGCTGTCACCCCTCGGATACATCATAGAGACAAAGGAAAAGAGCTTCTTTCAATTCAAATTTCCCCTAGGGAGAAAAGATCACTCTCTCTAGCAGTATGCTTAAAAGAGTCAAATATTGAGCCAGGAAATGTTCTTTTGCCCAAAGAAAAGCCTAATTCTCATTGTTATAATGCTTTAATGAAGCCGAAAAGTGAGCCATTCACTGATGAGTTGCCACAGTTTGAACTTCCACTTGCTATGATCTGCCCACCTGAGCAAGGTCTCATGAAAAATAAAGGTAGATCATCTCTCTACTTATATTAAATACCTTGTTGTTCAGTCAGGTTTGATGCAGGGATCCATAAGAAACTGAAAAGCAAATTATAAATAGACAAAAGAGTTGGGTTATGCTTGCACAATTAGCGTATCAGACTATAGACACTCATGCTAGAAGAAAAACTAGTGCAGTAGATGAGGAGAGCTGTCACAGTTTTGGTTGAAAACCTCGGAATGGATTCTAGCAAGCCACTGCTTCTTTTTCTTGGGTCTGCCTCTTTTTAGAGAATTCTAAGCGACAGATGAAAAGGTGACCATTTGAGGGACAACCAGACCTCCAACTCATTATATGAGCCAACTTTCTGATAACAAAAGATCAGACTACTCTTTTCATTCTATGCATTCCCCCTATATTTACATGGAGATGAGTGGATTGGGGACCATGCACCCAGAACATGCGCACACCACTAAATAACTACTAACTACCAACTCAACACTGAAACACAAAACTAACAATATAACATCTTACAGATCACATTGTCAGTTTTTTAGGATGGGGGTTGCATGCATGCTATAGTTGGTGGTTCCTTGTTGTCACGTGACAAGAGCACACTGCTATGACAAAAGCTTCTGTCATCAGACTATAGACACTGACATGCTAGACAAAAAAAACTAATGCACTGGATGAGGATAGCAAATGCTATAATAATAAGGTTCTGCTAATCTTACCTCCACCCAAGTAAAAAACACCCAAGTATGTGTGGCACAAAGTGTAAAGCCTTCTTCAACTAAGATGCCTGGATGCTATTATTTTGATTGTAGAAATGGTTTGAGTTTTTCTGCATGGGTAAGGCTGTGTACATCTGTCTCTCAGACCCTGCATTGGTGGGAGCCTTGTTCATTGAGCTGCCCCCCTTTTTTACATTTCCTCTACCATTTAGTAGAGGAACTGTAACATGACTATTCTTTCTAGTGTTTCATGATAAAGTATAAATGATTGATTTGTTTATTGTGCCATGTTGTCTTCATGGTTTTTAAGGCGTCTTGGTGATTCCAGGTAACAGTGTAACACCTAATTGTCTAGATGCCCCAATATGCATGGAATTTGAAAAAGAAGAAACCCATATTCTAAGTTGATTTCTATTTCTTTACTCCAACCAGCAAGTACGAAAATTGAATAATAGCAATGTTTTTTCCTAAATGATAAACAGTTTTGTAGTAAATCATCATATGCAAAAAGCAATAGCATGTTAAATCCATTAATTGCAATATTTCAAACAGACTATTACAACCTAAGTATTTAATAGAACTATTATATGCCAAAAACTGTTATTAGCTATTAAAGAAGTCTAATTTTTTACTAATAAAATATAGGATTAGAGATCAAAATAGAATAATGAAAGGAAAAACACAAATACTTACATACCAAGGGGCAGGTCCTTTGCTCTATTTAATAGAGAGTGAGAACAATTGTAGAAAAGAAAAAGGTTTAGGGCCCTCTCCTCTTTTTCCCTTCTTTCCTTCTCTCTCCTCAAAAGTCAAAACCCTAGGTGGGGGTACCTTTATAACTCAGAATTTAAGCTAGGTAACCCTCCACCCCAAAAAGTGCCATCTTCCTTGGCAAACAGCCTGACAGGGAGTTTGGATGGGCTTCCCATAGAGCGCACTCCACATGCACATCCAACCGTGCATTGGAAACATCTCCCGTACTTGTAATGGGGAGATGTTCCCAATGCAAGGTTGGATGTGCATGTGGGTTGCTCTGTGGGGAGCCCATCCAAACTCCCTCACAGGTATGGTTGCCTATTTATGTATAAGTTAAAAGTTTTGTTTTATCTATTAGAGGTGTAGCATTGCCTTGCAGCTAAACTGTTTGTTTTAGCCTTGACCATTTCTCCATTGTTGTTGTTATTAAAAGTAGTAAGCTTGTTGATTTCTCAAACCTTGCTGAATAAGTTGCATATATGCCTTATATTAATTTGATTGGAGAATAAGGCAATGCTTAATGGATTTTTAACTGGCTAGCTTTGTTTTTCACAGCTATCCCAGATCCAGTAAATAGGGGGAGTTATTCAGTTGGAGTTGGTTCTACCAAGGCAGATGGACGGGAACCTGTGTTGTCTAAAAACGTGGAAGAAAAAGGGAGAAATGATGGTGTTGGGAACATTGCATTCAAGTCTGGAAGTAATTTTGAGCCTCCAAACCTCCAGGAGGAATCTCTTGCTAATTTTGAGATTGCTTCATCACCCTTGGGAGAGGTCAAAATTTCTCTTAGCTATAGGTCTGACCTTGGACGGTCAGACTTTCACATGCCAAATCTAGATATGGTTCTAAAGATGGTGGAAGATAAATGTCGCAAATCTTATAGAATTGCTGAGCCTGATTTTTCTCTGATGAAGCTGATGAAGGAATTGTGTCTGTGCTTTTTGGAACAGGGTACTGATTCTTCTGGTGATAAACAAGAAAGATTAACTAATATGTTGCCAAAACTTGGTTCATTGCAAAATTCTGATAGTCGAAAAGGTTTTGGTTCCAAGTATAATAATCTGAGCAATTTCCACATGCCGGAAAGTTCTTCAAATGGATCTACAAATTTGCATTCTTCTATTAGGGTGCCTGTATCCCAAAAACCAAGGCTTCTAGGTTTGAATGGTCTAGAATCCTACTGGAATGTTGCATGGAGCTCTAGTGATAAAAGGAATAAGAAGAAAAAAGAGGTGAAAGGTCCAGAATCTTCAAATTCACGTAGTGTAGTGGTTGTTCAGCAACGGAAAATTTCCTTTGATGATGTAAAACCTCTTCATGATGTCAATGACATATCCAAAGGTGAAGAAAAAGTCAGAATTTCAGTAGCCAATGAGATCAGTGATGAGCAGTATCCACCAACTTTTTATTACATACCAAAGAACATAGTTTATCAACACGGGTATGTCAACTTCTCACTTGCTCGAATTGCAGATGAAGATTGTTGTTCAAGTTGTTTTGGGGATTGTTTGTCATCATCCATTCCTTGTGCATGTGCACGTGAAACTGGTGGAGAGTTTGCCTATAACCGGGAAGGCTTAGTTAAGAAGGAGTTTCTAGATGAGGTAATTTCTATGAATCGTGATCCTCAACAGCACCGTCTCTTTTATTGTAAGGACTGCCCCCTAGAGAGGTCCAAGAATGAGGATATACCCGACACTTGCAAGGGCCACCTAGTGAGGAGATTTATTAAAGAGTGCTGGAGTAAATGTGGCTGCAGTAAGCAATGTGGAAATCGAGTGGTGCAGCGTGGCATAACATGCAATTTACAGGTAAGGCTCTATCTGTGGGATCTTTCTTGCTGGATGCTAGTTCATTAGGAGTTGGATTTTGCTTTTCAATTCTTATATTAGAGCTTGAATTTAGGATTTTTTCTTAACATTATTTATATATTTGAACTTTTGAAACAATGATTTCTCTTCAGACCAGTGGTAGATATGATTTTTCAGAAGCTGGTTACAGAGCATTTTAGCTCTATATTTATGCTTATATATGTTCTGTTATTTACAATAATTCAATATTTTTGTATTCCAGGTTTTCTTGACATCTGAAGAGAAAGGTTGGGGTCTCCGAACCCTTAAGGGCCTTCCCAGAGGTGCTTTTGTATGTGAATATATTGGGGAAATATTGACAAACATGGAGCTATACGAGCGAAATACGCAAAGCACTCGGAACAAGAGACATACCTATCCAGTATTACTAGATGCTGATTGGGGTTCAGAAGGAGTATTAAAAGATGAAGAGGCCCTATGTTTAGATGCTACATATTATGGAAATGTTGCAAGATTTATTAATCATAGGTGATCCTTTATTACTTCATGAAAAAATCGAGGCAATGAGACAAATAATTCCTTTCCCTGTTTGTCACACACAGTCACATGCACAGCAGACACAAAAAACACAAAGAAAAGGAGGGTAACCAAATATGTTATTGAAGTATCCAAATACCTTGCTTTGAGTTGGATTAAAGATTTCTCATGCCAATTCCTTTTTCCATTTATACTTTGATATCCAACAATCAGAAGAAAAATATGTTTTGACATTCTGATATAGAATTGTTAGGAAAATCAAGATCCACTGTGGGAAGAAAATAGGATAGCATGCTTATCTTGAGAGCTGATAGGTTGGATCTCTTTAGAGACTGAAGGGTGGGTAGAGAGAATGTTCTGGTCACTCACCTACAGTTTGCAGATACAATAATATTTTGTGAGAGTGGGGACCCACACAAGGCTTGGAACTTGAGAAGGGTGACAAAATTGTTTGAGGTTATCTCTAAGATGAAAGTCAATTTTGGTAAGTGTTGTGTGGCGAGGTTAAATTTGCAGGAGTTATTGGAAGGTAGAGGAGGGGCTCTAGGATGTCCCATCTCTAACTGGCCTTTGAAGTATCTAGGCATGCTCTTAGGAGATAACTCTTGTGAAGGAAGATTTTGGAACCCAATTGTGGAAAACTGTGCGAAGAAATTGGCAGCGTGGAGGAAAATTATGTTTCACTCGGGGGTAGAATTGCGTTGAGCTGTTGATTAAGGCCACATTAGCAAACCCGATAGTCTATTTTCTCTCAGTGTTTAGGTTGCTTCAAAGGGAGGTGTTGAGATTAGAAAAGATCATGAGAGATTTCTTGTGGGAGCCTAGTGAAGGAAGAAAGGACCATTTGGTTAGGTGGGAATTAGTGTTCAGGAAAGTGGAGGAGGGGGGTTTGGGTATAGGAAACCTAAGGAAGAAAAACATGTCTTTGCTAAGTGATTGTGGAGGTGGCCTCTTGAGAAGGAGAGGCTCTAGCACAAGGTTGTAGGAAGTATCCATGGTTGTGCAGATAATGGTTGCGATGCTGGTGTATCTGAGTGGGCCACCTTGAACTCTCCGTGGAAGGCTATAAATGAGGTTCTCCCCCACTTTTTGAGCCTCATCAGGTATGCCGTTTGCTCTGGTGAAAAGGTTCTATTCCAGGAAGACATCTGGATTGGCATTTCTATCTTTAAAAATGAACTCATTCAAAGCTTGTTGTCCCTTTCTCATTCTTTGGGTTTTAATTGGAACTTGGGTTTTAGGAGAGACCTGAGGGATTTAGAGATTGATTGTGTGGCCTTGCTTCTCAAGACTCTTGAACCTATTTGCTTGGACCCTTCTAAACCTGATGCGCATGTTTGGACCCCCAACTCATTGGGTTCTTTCTCTTGTGCCTCCTTTTCTTCCTTGTGCTCTATGTCTAACCCCCACTTGTCTTTTTGTAAGGAAATTTGCTCTAGACCAATTCCTCCTAAAGTGAGGGCTTTTCGTTGGGAAGTGTCTCTTGGAAAGTTAAACACCTTGGACAACTTGCAAAAGAGAAGACCTGGTCTTAGTATTTCCCCAAACTGGTGTATACTTTGCAAAACTAATGGAGAAAGCTGTTACCATTTACTAATCTCGCCCCTTTGTTGGTCTCTGGGAAAAGATTTTTGGTTGTAGGTGGACTGAGCCTTCACAGATTAGTAGCCTCTTTGACCCTACAACTTTCAGATGGCCTAAGCGGAGAGGTAAGATTATGTGGCGATGTGTTAGGGCGGCTCTATTATGGACAGTTTGGGAGGAAAGAAATGCTAGAATATTCAATGATAAGGAGAGAGATAAGGTTACGGTTTGGGAGTGTCTACTCAACAGGGCTATAAAGTGGATTAAAGCCTCTGACTTCTATCGCATTACTCCTTTGATGTCTTAGGTCCCATTGGAGTAGGGAATGCTGTGAATGCGGAACTCCTTGCAGTCTTACAAGGAGTGGAGATTGCTACAGAGTTGGGCTTTGGCAGATTACTAGTTGAAGGTGACTCTAAACTGGTAATTAGGTGGCTAAGGGAACCAGATAAAGCGTCTTGGCCATTTAGGGGGGCTTTGTGAAGAGTAAAATGGCTAACCACAAGCATTGAAGTAAGGTTTCCTTGGGAAAGAAGATCGGCCAATGGGGTCGCTGATTGCTTAGCTAAGCATGGCGTACACAAGAATCAGTTATTTTGGGCACAGTTGTAATTTGCTTTTTACTCATTGAGGTTGCAACTTGTGCCTCTGTGGTTGTAGTTTCCACCTTGTGCCTTTCTTTTGTTTCTCTTTAATTTCAATAAAATTCATATCTTATCAAAAAAATAGGATAGTTTTATAGTGTCTTTGGTAGGGTTTTTAGGGCTGATAGGAGTGAGTTTCTATAATACCAGCCTGAAATTAGGATGGCTTTGATTCTATTTCTAATGCAACTTTCGTGGTTCAACTTAAAGGTGAAGTAAGTTGGTGTTATTGGTTATGGTGATTAATATAATGATCATAGATTATGGAATGTGTAGTGAGGGCTGGTAAGGTGATTCAAGGATGGTTGTTGTTTGGCTCATCTTGGATTCATGGGCATTAAAGTGAGAGAAACACTATAGTTGATTAGGGAATTGCGGACAACATTTATTTGGACCCCAAGATCAGGCAATAGTTCAGTTGATGAATTATCTATGCAATGGGTATATAGAAGAGTTCTGTATTGGGGAGGGGGGTGGGTCATCACCCATGATGTCGAATGTTTGAAAATGTGATGGGTAGCTGGGCCTATCCTATCATTTAAAAAGGTCTACTTAGTGCACACTTTTTTTTTTGATCAATAACACTTTCATTAATTCATCAATAGAAGATTTACAATAGGAAGACAAACACACTTATCTTCCAAGAGCAACAAAGAACCTCAAGAAAAGGAAAAAAAGAAAGAGAAAAGAAAGAAAACACACTAAAGTTACAGTTTGGCCCAAAAAAGTGAATCCCTTTCTG